AACTCTCTCTCTCAAAAAAAAAAAAAAAAAGAGACTATTAAAAGGAGAGACATTATATACTGATAAAAGGGTCAGCTTATCAAGAAGATATAACAATTATGAATATATATGATCTAACATGACCACTTTTGGGTGAGGTTTTTCCCAAAAATGCAAGGTTGGTTTAATATTTAAAAAATAAATGTAATTCACCATATTAAGAGAATAAAGGAGAAAAGCCATAGGCAGTGCCTGTGTTCATTATGGAGGTGTAATTGTACTAAGTACCCTAAGGACTGTCAAAAATGGTAATATGTGATGTCTACATGATGGGAAGGCACCATAGTCTGGTGGTTAAATGTATGAGCTCTGGAATCAGACAACCAGGGTTCAAATTCCACCCAGTGTGGAATGCGGGCCACTAGTACACATGTGATACGAGGAAGGTTTTACGGCTTAAATGCTGTCTTACTAAATTTGTAAAAATAAGTGAAGATAAACTGCCTGCCAGGAAAGAATGTGTTGTGGTATCCTCATTGCCACCTCAGAAAGCCTAGCAGTCCCCCAGAGATGCTTGGGATACTCGCCTGTCCTGGGTGGCCACAGAAAAGGTGCACCCAGCTCCTGGAACTGAAGAAGAGCTAGGGAGGCCCCTGGAGGAGCTGGTGTTGGAGCCTTGACCTACCAGCCTGGAGGAGTGGGGATAGGTGTTGAGGGTGAACTGGTGTCATCTGCGGCAGTTGTCCGAAAGGAACAGCCTGAAATTCACCCTGTGACACTGAGGTGCCTGCAGACGTGGTGCCCTGGAAGTGACAGTTATGTAGGCTCCTGGAGTTCAGTCTTGGACAGTCCCACCTTGCCACCAAGACTGTCTGGTGCCAAACACCTGCAACCTGTAGTAGGAATGCCAAGAAGTACTAGAGAGTCCTGCTGGGGTTCGGCCTCTGGGCCTCTTACCCTTCAGTGCTTTTCCTCATGCATTTTCCTGGCAGTATGCCCTTAGCTGGGGCACTTTTTCTCTGTCACATGTCCCATGTGTCACATGCGTCAAGCTGAACAGTACCTGGTTTGCCATGGAGGTAGCAGGTAGTTAGGAGACCTCTCCAAATGTCATATCTCCCAGGACCTGACAGCACACAAACTGCCCTTCATAGGCAACTTGCTTAGCAAGCTTTGCCCCCATCCTGATCGCATGCCTGGCCATGCTATCACGCACTTGTTCAATCCTACCCAGTGTGCTCCCCCTTCTGGCTGGGATCACTCTATTTTGGCTTTTTGCCTGGTAGTTCTACCAGGATCCTGGTGTCATATACCCCTAAAGGATAGTGTCCCACCAGGAAGCCTCAATGTTCCTCTCTGGGGATCCTGAGATGACGCTCTGAAAATGACATTGCTGTCTGCTTGTACCACAAAGTGGCCACTCCAGAATGACAAAGATCCCTCCTCCAAGGCACAAATGGACTCTCCTCCCTCATCACCTGATCAGACAGTCACCTGTGAGGCCTGGGACAGCCACTTACACCTCCCCCCAGATCCTTGCTTAAAGGAGACCGAGATGAAGATACCAGGGGCATGAAGGAAATGGATACTGAAGGAGGAAGATCCGCAGTGTGGGAGAAGACAGAGTTAGAGAAAATGGGCCCCTACAGCAGTGGGAGAGTACAATCAGCATCTAGGTCCCTAGCAACCAACAGAAGCATCACATATTTGGGAGCAGTCCTGGACCCCTGAAGATAAGCCTCTATTCCAATCACTCAGACGACAGCTGAGGTCAGATGTTACAGATGTCTTCTATGAGCTCATTCACAAAAGATCATGCCATCACCAGCCCAGATAGTCCTGCCTGCTGCAGGCTTCCTGCCTCTTCATGGCAGTGAAGGAGGTACAGCAGGGCTGAATGGCCAGCCACATTCTCCTTCCTGCTGCCAGAGAAAGGAAGAGCTTGATGAATGCCATTATCAACTCAGCTCACCAGCCACATTGAAGTCAAAGACAACAACTCACAGAGGAAAGCTTTCAGATACTCTGTCAATGAGAAATTCTCCACTCACATCTGCCAGTTGTAGGCTCTGTGAACAGAAATTGTCAATGCCCCTGCTGCTGCCATTGCTGCCCCCATTGCCACTGTTGTGAGAGTGAAGAGAGCTGCCCCCATCTCCTACCTTGCCTGAATAGTTACTGCAGAAGACCTAAGCTTGGAGAACCCTGAACACCAATAGAACCTCAAGGTGGGAGAATAATATTGAGGCCCCTTCAGACAGCAGAGCAGCTCAGCCTGCTTGTTCTCCCTATCTGCTGTGGAGGCCACAGGTCCTTTGCCATTGGTCACCTTTTCCTTGCAGATTCCAGAAACTACCAAATTAGCAGTCACTGACTTGACTGGCCTGTTAGGCCACCCGTACTCTTTGCCCCTGTACCTACACGCACATCAGATACTGATCATGAAATGAGACGCACAGTTCCTGACTCTCCTTTTGCTCTTCCTGCTATTTCTCACTTTGGCTTCCAACCTATATTTGCTATTCCACTTAATAATGAGAACAGGGGCCCTCTGCATTCCAGTCCCTCAGTCATAGTTGCAGGATCCTCTACTTCTGCCTAACCCACATGTCCCAGAACTTTCTCCCTCTCCTTAAAGCTTGCCTTCTGCAGAATGGAGTCATATACACCTGTGCCTGTGGATTCTCCTCCCCATTTCTTACAGATCCCTCCTTAAGTTGCTTGCACCAGTACCCCTGTCTTTACCAGCCAACCCATCACTGCTTCTGCAGTTACTTCTAGCATGCCAGACAGCCTGTCTGCAGACTGGATTTCCCAGCCTGCTTGGACTGTGTTATAATTGATGTGGATAGTACTCTTCCTTCCAAGATTTCTTCTTCAGGTCTCCCTCAAGATCTGGGGTGAGCTTCTTCCCATTGGACCAGGCCCATCCCAGTGTGGAGCAGATATCCCCTGCAAAGGCCACCATCCCCACCAGCCCACCTGCTTTTATGGTCAGCAGCCCTACTTGAACTTCTAAGCTTGTTTTTTATTCAGGAAACACTTATCAGCTGAAATCTTGGGGTGCTTATTCAGGGCCTTGCCAAGAAGCCACTCTCCCCAATGCCCTGTCTTTTCTGGCCCACCTACCACTGATTCTGCAGTCACCTTCACTCCAGTATGCAATCCGTCTTCAGACTCGGTGTCTCCACCTGACTTTGCCTTTAAGGAAATCAACATGGGTACCATACCCATTCCCCATCTGTTATCATCCTGTCTCTCCCTGCAATGTTAACAGCTGTTTCCCTTTGAGAAACCTGCCAGTCCCTGAAAACCCTTCATACTTAACCTCTACTGCAGCCCTAGAACCCGATGGCAGCACAACTCATTCAGCTTTTGGGAACTAGACACTCCCATGTCCACTTTGGCATCAATGTCAGCATTCAGCCAGCCCATGGTGATGCCTCGGGTGTTTTACCCATTGGTGTGGCCACTGTTATTCTTGCCATGAAATGCTACCAGAAAGCACAACACTGAGGACTGTTGCTCATTTCTTGCTGATGCCAATCCAAACCAATTTGTATTTGTGGGATCTGAAGCCCTTATGGATAGTAAAATCTTCGGGGTCATTGGGTCTACCACCCAGAGTCTACCACCCAGAGTCTATCTGGATCACTTAGTTTTGGAGCAAAATGACTGGGGGACAGCCAGTACCATAGCTCATGATGGCGGAGGCTTAGACCTGAGCACCAGGGTCCTGTCAGCCCTGATGCACCCCTGCTGCAACTGGGGAAGACAGCACTGCTAAGAACAAATCAAATCTGTCCTGGGAAACACTTTCCTTCCCAACTGTAGTTAGAGCACCTGGTACCGGCCCAGCCAAAACACACCTACCACTACTGGAAGATTCATCAGCACTGAGAAAGAGTGTTTCAGAAGACATGGCTGTTCCCCCTTTTGTTCAGATCACCTGGGACCTGTCTAGCCAGAGCACTTGTGTTCCAGTGGAAGGGACCAGCACCACACCTGTGCTGAGATCCTTCTCTTCCTGCCCCCAGTCAAGCCACCTGGGGCACACCTAACTAAAGTACACCTGTTGCAGTCTAAGGGACCAGCACTGCATCTATGCTTGGATGCCGTTACGTTCCTACCTATAGCCAGAACACCTGAATCCCACCTGTCCAGGGCACATGTGTTGCAATGGAAGGGGCCAACATCATAACTATTTTTGAAAAGTCTTCTCTTCCTGCATATGGTCTAAGTATTGGGGCCCACCTGGCCAGAGCAAACCTGCTGGAGATACCTGCACCACTGAGAAGAAATGCATGCCACGTGATATATCTGTTCATTCCTTCCATCAGACACGTAGGGCCCACCTGTGCTGTTTGAATGGCTGGCATTTCACCTGTGATTGGAGATGCTACTGGCAGAGGACCTGGGGTACACAGTCTGGAGCACAGGCGATACTCTGGGAGGAGGCAGCCCCATTTCTGTGCTCCAGGGTATCTGTATGCTCACCGTCATTCACCGCTGCTGGCGTGGTCATGCTCAGGGCACATCTGATACAGTCTCACAGGAGAACACCATGCATACACTTTTCGGGAGACACTTCTATTCCTGCACCCACTCAGAATACCTGGGCTCTATCTAGACAAGGTAGCCCTTTGACTTGGTGTAGTGAACACAACTGAGAAAATACCTAGTTATGGGCCAGTTTTCCATTAGTCTTAGACTGGCAGTACCCCTTGCTGCCTATAGCTATCCCCTTTTGTCTTGCCCATTTGCCTTAACAAGCCCCATTCTTTCTTTCCCAGATTGCTATACAAATATAATATAATATAATATAATGTAATATAATATAGACTTGTTCTTGTTCATTAATCCTGTGCTAAGCTTCAGCACTTTTGCTTCATCTTTCAGAGCAAATGTACCTCCAGCGTGAGCATAGAAGCAGCAGTCCTGCTTAAGGCACCTTTGTCACCTGCCCAGGCTTCCTTTGGAGACCGAAGTTTGGGATCACCAACTCGTTCATTTTCTTCTAGTGAAAGAAATAATATCTCATCAACTCTAAGCAAAAGCTATCCAGAAGTAGCTGGTAGTGGTGGGGGACCACAACTTGCCATAAATGGACCTTGCTCCATTAGGAAGAGGCTCCGCCTCTTCTAGTTATGTCAAACAAACTTAACCTGCCCTCTATTATCCTAAAGAAAGCTGGCAGCCCAACCCTTCAGGGTGTTTTGTATGTATGTTAAAGGGTGTGGGTTCAGATGAGGCTGGTGAGAAGTCAACACACTGGCCTTGAGGCAGTCTACTGTGGAAAGAAGAAAAAGATCAGTAAGTATCCACCACACCACACCCAGTTTCAACTATCAGTCTGGTAGAACCAAGCTATGGGTCAGTTTTCCTCCCGTCTTACACTGGCAGGACCCCCTGCTGCCTGTAGCTGCCTCCTTTTGTCTGGCCCATTTGCCTCAATGGGCCCTTTTCTTTCTTTCCTAGACTGATAAACACACACACACACACACACACACACACACACACACACTATATATATATGTGCATATGTATATATACACACACATATACATTATGTGTATGTATACATATATACATCGTGTGTCTATATATATATAGAGAGAGAGAGAATGCCTTGTTTTTGTTCATTGATCCTCTCTGCTCACATGTCTTTGCTCTTTTACTCAATTGTGGAAGAAAAATTGACTTCTATAAGTGGTGCTGTGTTGAGGCAGATGTAACTTTTCAAAGTTCTGTGGCTCAGCAAATAGGATGTGGCATAGCCACACTTTACAACTGCACAGGCTGACATCTGACATCTCTGTGTTTTGATGTAAGGGATAGCAGCCATGAGGAAGAGAAGCTCAAAGGAGGAAGGGATGGGTGACCCTCCCTTGCCTTTTCCCTCTTTGCTTCTCTTCCATCACTCTGATTTGGTCGTAGGCTAGACCACCCCTGATGTGTGTAAGGGAAACAAACTTAACAAATTTGGTCTTTTGAAAATAATTAAATGTCTCCTTTGTGTCTTTCTCTTTCATTTAGACTTAAGAAAATCATCCCCACATATTCACACCTTGACTAGAGAGGATAGGTATGGCATAGAGGCCCTTATGTCTAGAAGAAAAAAAGGAAGAAAAAGCTCATGGCTCCTTTGTGATTATTGGAAATTTTAAGTCTAGGATGTCACACATTATATAGAAGTGTTTTCATGCTCCAGGAAAATTCAGAAAAGATTATTTTTTCAAGAAAATACCTAGATAAGATCTATTTGGAAAAGTAATTGGTCTGGCTCTAGTATAAAACCCTAAAAAAGCAAATTACAGTCCTTACCATTTTATCCAAATCTAGCTGTCTGTGGAGTCCTGCTGTGTCTCCACTAGACTTAATTCCTGAAAATACAATCTTTCCTAAGATAATTCATAGTTCAGGAGAAACAGCTGAAGCTGGGGGGAAAAGAAAAATATAAGCATTTCACTTAGCTTACACATATTATTTTACTAAATGTTTATTCAGAGTTGATTCTACACTAGACATTGTGCTTGAGCCTAGTGACATATAGCTGAAAGGCATCTATTGCCTCAAAGGAATTTACAATATAGTAGGAGTGATGAGTGAATATATCAAAAGTAAAATTGGAGGGGTTACTAGTAGGGATATGGGAGCAGTAAGAACACTAAACTAAGAATATCATTTCTTCAGAAACTAACAGAACTAGACTAACAACAATGAACAAAAAAAATAGTAAATCCTTCCCTATAGATAGTTACTTTAAATATAAATAGATTAAATTTCTCAATCAAAAGACACAGAGTAGCTGGATGGATAAAAAGAGTTACCGCCGGGCGCGGTGGCTCACACCTGTAATCCCAGCACTTTGGGAGGCTGAGGCAGGCAGATCACGAGGTCAGGAGATCGAGACCACGGTGAAACCCCATCTCTACTAAAAATACAAAAAATTAGCCGGGTGAGGTGGCGGGCGCCTGTAGTCCCAGCTACTCGGGAGGCTGAGGCAGGAGAATGGCGTGAACCCGGGAAGCAGAGCTTGCAGTGAGCCGAGATTGCGCCACTGCACTCCAGCCTGGGCGACAGAGCAAGACTCCATCTCAAAAAAAAAAAAAAAGAATTACCCAACTACATTCTGTTTACAGGAAACTCACTTTAGATTTAAGGACATACATCGTTTGAAATTGAATGAATGGAAAAAGATATTCCATGCAAATAGTAACCAGAAGTGTGTCAGGTGGCTACACTTATATTGGACAAAATAGACTTTAAGTCAAAAACTACCGTAAGAGACAGAGAAGGACATTATATAATGATACATGGGTCAATTCATCAGGAAAATATAACAATTATAAATATATATGAACCAAACATAAGAACACCTAAATATATAAAGCAAATATTGACAGGACTAAAGGGAGAAATAGACAATAATAGGAGACTTCAATTCCTGACTTTCTGTATGGATGGAAAGAACATGCAGACAGAAGATCAATTATAAACAGAAGTTAGTAAACAGAAGACTTAAACAACACTGAAGACCAAATAGACCTAACAGGCATATACAGAACATCTCACTCAATAGCAACAGAATACACATTATTCTCAAGCCCACATAAAATATTCTCGGGAATAGATCAATTACAATTTTATCTAGATCTGGCTGGCTATCAAGTCCTGCTATGTCTCCACTAGACTTAATTCCTGAAAATACAGTCTTTTCTAAGATAATTCACAGTTTAGGAGAGCCAGCTGAAGCTGAGGGGAAAAGATCAGATAACAAATTTAAGATCATATCAAGTATCTTATCTGAGCCAAATGGAATGAAACTAGAAATCAACACCAGAAGGGAAACTGGAAAATTCACGTATATGTGGAAATTGAACATTGAAGAGGAGAGTACACTTCCAAACTCATTTTATGAGGCCAGCACTACCCTGACACCAATGCCAAAGATAGCACAAGAAAAGAAGACTATTGGCCAATATCCCTGATGAACACAGATGCGAAAATCCTTAGCAAAATATTAGCAAATTGAATTTAACAGCACATTAAAATAATCAGATACCATAATCAAGTGGGATTTATCCCTGAGATGCAAGTATGGTTCAATATATGAAAATCAATTAATGTGATTTACTGTATTAACATAATAAAGGATAAAAATCATTTTATGTGGCTCTGAAACCCAATGGCAGCACAACTCCATCAGCTTTTGGAAATTGGAATATGCAGAAAAGGCATTTGATGAAATTTAACACCGTTTCGTAAGAAAAAATATCTCAACAAATTAGGTTAGACGGGATGTATCTCAACACAGTAAAGGCCAATAGGAAAAGGCCATAGCTAACATACAGTCAACAGTGAAAAACTAAAAGCTTTTCTTCTAAAATTAGGAACAAGGCAAGGACTCCTGCTCTTACTACTTCCATTTAACTTACTACTGGAAGTCCTGGCCAGAGCAATTAAGCAAGTAAAATAAATAAAAGGCATCCAAATTAGAAAGAAAGATGTAAAATTGTCTGTTTGCAGATGATATGATCGTACATATTGAGAATTCTAAAGAATCCATAAGAAAACTGAGAACTCAGCCCGGGCACGGTGGCTCACACCTGTAATTCCAGCATTTTGGAAGGCCTAGGTGGGCAGACCATGGGGTCAGGAATTCAAGACCATCCTGGTCAACATGGTGAAACTCCATCTCTACTAAAAATACAAAAATTAGCTGGGTGTGGTGGCAGGCACCTGTAATCCCAGCTACTTGGGAGGCTGAGGCAGGAGAATCGTTTGAACCCGGGAGGAGGCAGAGGTTGCAGTGAGCCGAGATTGCACCGTTGCACTCTAGCCTGGGAGACAAGGTGAGACTCTCAAAACAAAACAGCTGGGCATGGTGGCTCATGCCTGTAATCCCAGCACTTTGGGAGGCCAAGGCAGGCGGATCATAAAGTCAAAAGATCGAGACCATCCTGGCCAACATGGTGAATCCCTGTCTCTACTAAAAATACAAAAAAAAAATTAGCTGGGCATGGTGGTGCGTGCCTGTAGTCCCAGCTTCTCAGGAGGCTGAGGCAGAAGAATCACTTGAACCTGGAAGGTGGGGGTTGCAATGAGCGGAGATCACACCATTGCACTCCAGCCTGGGCAACAGAGCGAGACTCCATCTAAAAAAAAAAATACTGTTCAAAAAAGCAGAATTCAGAAAATGAAAAGGTAAACCTTAACAAGAAAAAATATTTGCAAAATATGTGTCTAACAAAAGACTGCTACAACTCAATTATAAAATATCAGGCCATTGAATAAAAATTGGCAAACTTTTAGCTATACTGACCAAGATAAAAGGAGAAAAGATTCAAATTACCAAAATCAGAAATGAAAGAGGAAACGTTACTACCAACATTATAGAAATTAAAAGAACTATAAAGGAATACTAGTACAATTTTATACCTAGAAATTCTATAATTTGGGTGAAATGGACAAATCCCTAGAATCATAGAAACTATGAAAGCTAACTTGAGAAGAAATAGGATCATCTAAATAGGCATACAACAAGTGAGGAGTAATTAATTCATAATCAAAAAACCACCCACAAAATATTCCAGTTCCAGGCCAGGAGCAGTGACTCATCCCTGTAATCCCAGCACTGTGGGAGGCTAAGGCAGGCAGATCACTTGAGGTCAGTAGTTCAAGACCAACCTGGCCAGCATGGTGAAACCTATCTCTACTAAAAATACAAAAAAAAAAAAAAAAAAAAAAATAGCCAGGTGTGGTGGTGCATGCCTGTAGTCCCAGCTACTCAGGAGGCTGAGAAAGGAGAATCGCTTGAACCCAGGATGCGGAGGCTGCAGTGATCCAAGATCACTCCACTGCACTGCACTCCAGCCTGGGCAACAGAGCAAGACTCCATCTAAAAAAAAAAAAACCGCCGGGCGCAGTGGCTCACGCCTGTAATCCCAGCACTTTGGGAGGCCGAGGCGGGCGGATCACAAGGTCAGGAGATCGAGACCACGGTGAAACCCCGTCTCTACTAAAAAAATACAAAAAATTAGCCGGGCGCGGTTGTGGGCGCCTGTAGTCCCAGCTACTCGGGAGGCTGAGGCAGGAGAATGGCGTGAACCCGGGAGGCGGAGCTTGCAGTGAGCCGAGATCGCGCCACTGCACTCCAGCCTGGGCTGGGCGACAGAGCGAGACTCCGTCTCAAAAAAAAAAAAAAAAAAAAAAAAACCTTCCAGGTCCAGATGGCTGAATTTTGTTAAACATTTAACAAAGAATTAATACCAATTCTTTGTGAACTGTTCATTTTATGGACAGTTAACTCATTTTATGAAACCAGTATTACCTTGATACCAAAACAAGACAAAGACATCATAAAAAGAGAAAAGTACAGGCCAATATGATTCTTATAAATATGGATGCAAAACTCTCAACAGAGTACTGGTAAACAAAGCCCAACAATATATAAAAAGAATGTATGCCAGCAATGCAAGGTTGGTTTAACATCCAAAAATAAACTATTGTAATACATAATATCAGTAGAACAAAAAACAAATCATATGGTCATTTCAACACATGCAGAAGAAGCATATCACAAAATTCAACATCTTTTCATAATAGTAATTTTTAAATTATTTTTATTTTTCAATATAGAGATGGAGTTTTGCCATGTTGCCCAGGCTGGTCTCAAACTGCTGAACTCAAGTGATCTGCTGGCCTTGGCCTTCCAAAGTGCTAGGATTACAGGTATGAGCCATCATGCCTGGCCATAATAATAATTTTTTAAAACTCAACAAAGTAGTAATAAAAATGAACTTCCTCAACCTGATAACAGCAAGTACAAAAAACCCACAGCAAACATCATAATGATTAAAGTTGGATGCTTTCCCTCTAAGTTTAAGAACAAGATTATAGGCTGGGCATAGTGGCTCATGTCTGTAATCCTACCACTTTGGGAGGTTGAGGCAGGCAGATTGCTTGAGCCCAGGAGTTCGAGACCAGCCTGGGCAACATGGCAAAACCCTGTCTCTACAAAAATTACAAAAAAATTAGCCAGGCGTGGTGGTGGGCACCTGTAGTCCCAACTACTTGGGAGGCTGAGGTGGGAGGATCACCTGAGCCCAGGAGGTCAAGGCTGTGGTAAGCTGTAATTATGCTACTGCATTCCAGACTGGGTGACAAAGTAAGACTCTGTCTCAAAAAACAAACAAACAAAACAAAACAAAAAAACAAGATTATAATGTCTACTCTCATCACTTTTATTTATTATTGTACTTGAGTCTGTAGCTAGGGAAATTTGCAGATTAGAGTTATTTTGTGGGAAATGTCCAAAAGAATACAATGAAAAATCTATTAGAACTAATAAACTAGTTCAGCAGTATTATATAAATTGATATATAAAAATCAATTGTATTTGTATACACTTGCAATGAATCATCCAAAACTAAAATTAAGTAAACAGTTTCATTTACAGTAACATAAAGAATAAAACATTTAGGAATAAATTTAACAAAAACATTTTCAATATGTACTCTGAAAACTACAAAACATTGTTTAAAGAGAGTCAAAAATATCTACAGAATAGGAAAAAGAATGCACATTCATGAATAAGAAGGCTTGATATTGTTAAGATGACAATATTCCCCAAACTGATCTACAGATTCAATGCAGACTCTAGCAGAATCCCAGCTGACCACTTTGTAGAAAGTGATAAGCTGATTGTAAAATTCATATGGAATCGCAAGGAACCCTAAGTAGCCAAACAGTTTGAAAAAGAAAAACAGCCGGGCATGGTGGCTCACGCCTGTGATTCCAGCACTTTGGGAGGCCAAGGCGGGCAGATCACCTGAGGTCAGGAGTTCGAGACCAGCCTGACCAACATGGCGAAATCTCATCTCTACTAAAAATACAAAAACTAGGCCAGGTGTGGTGGCTTATGCCTGTAATCGCAGCACTTTGGGAGGCCAAGGCAGGCGGATCACAAGATCAAGAGGTCGAGACCATCCTGGCCAACATGGTGAAACCCCATCTCTACTAAAAATATAAAAATTAGGCAGGTGTGGTGGCACATGCCTATAATCCCAGCTACTGGAGAGGCTGAGGCAGGAGAATTGCCTGAATCAGGGAGTCGAGGTTGCAGTGAGCCGAGATCACGCCACTGCACTCCAGCCTGGGTGACAGAGTGAGACTCCATCTCAAAAAAAAAAAAAAAAGAAAGAGAAAGAAAAAGAAGGAAGGAAGGAGGGAAGGAGGGAAGGAAGGGAGGGAGGGAGGGAAGGAAGGAAGGAAGGAAGGAAAGGAAGGAAGGAAGGAAGGAAGGAAGGAAGGAAGGAAGGAAGGAAGGAAGGAAGGAAGGAAGGAAGGAAGGAGAAAACCAAAGTAGGAGAATTCACACTTACTGATTTCAAAACTTACTGCAATGGGCCAGGCATGGTGGCTCATGCCTGTAATCCCAGCACTTTGGGAGGCCAAGGTGGGAGCATTGCTTGAAGCTGGGAGGTCAAGGCTGCAGTGAGCCATGCTCATATTACTGCACCCCAGCCTGGATGACACAGCAAGACCCTGTCTCAAAAAAAAAACAAAAAAGAAAACAAAAGTTATTGCAATATAATGGTAATCAAGACTGTGTGGTGTTGGCACAAGGATAGACATATAGATCAATAAAATAGAATTGAGTGTCTACAATTGCATGAAATAAACCCATAAATCTTCTGTTTGATTTTTTAATTATTTCAATCATTTTGTTACATTTCTCTGATAAATTTCTGAATTGCTTTTCGGTATTATCTTGGAAATCAAATCAAAACTGCTGTTTTGAATTCCTGATCATAGAGCTTGCCTATTGTCATCTTGCTAGGATTGGTCACTGGCTCTTTACTTTGTCCTTTTGGGGAGGTCATCGTTCCCTGTCTGCTATTGTTTCTTATGGATCTACATCTATGTCTTTGCACTGAAGGATGTGTTAGTTATTCCAGCTTTCTCTGTCTGGTTTGTTTTTGTTTTTCTTAGATATGTTTGCTTAGAGATTCTTTGCAGTTTATCTGTTGAGTATCTTTTTCATTAGGTCACTCTCTCCTTTATGGTGCTAGGTGGCACCTTAAGCCCAGGTGTGTCTTTGCCCTAGCAAACATTTTGAGATCTGCCCATCCTGAATGAGGGAGTCCCAAAGGGGCTACCCTGGCAGGGTAGGAAGGCTGGCTAGGGGTTTCTGCCCAGGAGACCCTCTCATCTGAGTTCTGGGATATTGCTGGTGATTATCTTTGTGCTGGATATTTGTTTCTGTTTTTTTGGTGAGAGTGAAGCCAGCTTGCTTCTACTCCACCATTTTGGACCTAGTACCAGTGCAAAACCCATATATCTTTGGTCAACTGATTTTTTAATAAAGGTGCTAAGACCATTCAATGAGGGAAAAGTAATCTTTCAACAAATAGTGCTGGGGCAACTGGATAGTCACATGCAAAAGAATAAAGTTGGACCTTTGCCTTGCACCATATACAAAAATTAACTCAATGTGAATTGACTACATAAATTAAGAGTTAAAACTATAAAACTCTTAGAAGAAAACATATAGAAAAACTTCATGACATTGATTTTGGGAATGGTTTCTTAGACGTGGCAGCAAATAAAAAGCAAAAGAAAAACTAGATAAATTTTTTCCTACATCAAAATGAATAACTTTTGTGCTTCAAAAGATACCATCAAGAAATTGAAAATAAAACCCATAGAATGGGAAAAAAATATTTGCAAATCATATATGTGGTAAGAGGCTTGTATTCATAATGTATAAATAACTCTTACAACTCAATAATAAAAGATAAAAACCTATTTAAAAATAAGCAAAGGATACGAATAGACATTTCTCCAAAGAAGACATACAAATGGTCAATTTGCAAACAAAAAGATGGTTAGCAACATTAGTCATTAGAGAAATACAAATCAAAACCACAATGATGTGTCATTTCATACCCACTAGGATGGCTAGAATCAAAAAGTCAAATAAGCAAAAACCTGGGGAAATTTGTTTTTTTGTTTTTTTGTTTTTTTTTTTAGTAGAGACGGGGTTTCACCGTGTTAGCCAGGATGGTCTCGATCTCCTGACCTCGTGATCCGCCCGTCTCGGCCTCCCAAAGTGCTGGGATTACAGGCTTGAGCCACCGCGCCCGGCCTTTTTTTTTTTTTTTTTTTTTTTTTTGAGACGGAGTCTTGCTCTGTCGCCTAGGCTGGAGTGCAGTGGCCCGATCTCGGCTCACTGCAAGCTCCATCTCCCCGGTTCACACCATTCTCCTGCCTCAGCCTCCGAGTAGCTGGGACTACAGGCGCGCACCACCACGCCCAGCTAATTTTTTGTATTTTTAGTAAAGACGGGGTTTCACCGTGTTAGCCAGGATGGTCTCGATCTCCTGACCTTGTGATCCGCCCGCCTCGGCCTCCCAAAGTGCTGGGATTACAGGCGTGAGCCACCGCGCCCGGCTACCTGGGGAAATTTGAACCTGGAACCTCGAACACTGTTGGTGGGAATGTTGAATGGGGTAGCCACTTTGGAAAACAATCTGTCAGTTTCTCAAACTATCAAAAAGAGTTACTGTATTACCTAGTAATTCTACTTTGAAGCATGTACCCAAGATAAATGAAAGCAACCCATGCCCACACAAAAAGTTGTATATGAGTGTTTGCAGCATTATTCATAATGGCTGAAAGGTAGAAACAATCCAAAGTGATAAATGGGTAAAAGAAAGTGGTACATCCATATAACAGAATGTTATTCGGTCATAAAAACACATATTTGGCCATAAAAACATCCATGCTACAGTATGGATGAGTCTTAAAAGCATTATGCCAAGTGAAAAAAGCCAGACACAAAAGACCATATATCATACGGTTCCATTTATATGAAATGTCCGGAACAGGGGATCCATAGAAACAGAAAACAGATCAGTGGCTTCCAGGGGTTGAAGGATATAGACTCGTAGCTGAAAAGTAGAGGGTTTTCTTGAGATGATAAAAGGTTCTAAAATTGACTCTGGTGATGGTTGTACATATCTATGAATATATTACAAAACATTGAATTATACACTTTGAGTAAATTATATGGCTATGTGAACTACATCTCAATAAAGTATAAAAACAAAACAAGAATTACCAATATCATGAATAAAAATGGGGCATGAATGCAGATCTGAAAGATATTAAAGGAACAAAAAGGAACTAAAAATATCTTTCCAAAAAGAAAACAGCAGGTCTAAATGATTTTAATGGTGAATTCTATGAAACATATAAGAAAGATGTTTTACCAGCATTAAACATAGTCTTTCAGAGAATAGAGAAAGCAATTTTTCCTGACTCATTCTGTGTAACTGACATTACCCTAATATAAAAACCAAGCAAGAAAGGGATACAACAGATTAATAAACCTCATGAACATAGACATAAAATTCTTTTTTTTTTTTTTCTTCTCACTCTGTCACCCAGGCTGGAGTGCAGTGGCATGATCTCAGCTCACTGCAACCTCTGCCTCCCAGATTCAAGCGATTCTCCTGTCTCAGCCTCCCAAGTAGCTGGAACTACAGGCATGCACTACCACACCCAGTTAATTTTTGTATTTTTAGTAGAGACGGGGTTTCACCATGTTGGTCAGGCTGGTCTCGAAGTCCTGACCTCAGGTGATCCAACCGCCTCAGCCTCCAAAAGTGCTGGGATTACAGGCGTGAGCCACTGCCCCCAGCTGACATAAAATTCTTTCACAACATCTTTGGGAATTAAATTCAACCAAATAGAAAAGAATGACCTAGCATGACCAAGTGGGGTTTGTCCCAGATATGTAAGGTTGGTCTAACACTCAAAATTTAAAATGTAATTCACCATATTAAGAGAACAAACAAAAAGTCATATGATTATCTCAATAGCTTTGGACAAAGTAATTGAAAAAAAAGTTTTAATTCTGAATATCAATCCCTTCTCAAATATATGATTTACAAGTATTTTTTCCAATTGCCTGGGTTGTCTTTTCACTCTGTTAGATAGTGTCTTTTGATGCACAAAACTTTTTACCATGTATTTTTTTGTGGCCTGGCACATTTGTTTTTGTAGTTATGGCAAGAGTTCTTAGATTAATTTTAATACCCTTTGACTCCAGACACAATAGCTCACAACCAATCATTACTTAATTTATAAAAACATCTTTTCTATGACAACATGGGTTTCAAGGAATAGTTTTATTTTTCTTTCCAACTTTTATTTTAGGTTTAGGGGAGTACATATGCAGATTTGTGACATGGGTTGAAAAAATTTAACACCTCTTTCAAAAAATTTCACAGTATAGAAAGAATTGGAGGGAACAGCCTTTACATGATAAAGCACATCTATAAAAGCCTTAAATTAATAGCACACTGAGCACTTCCCCCGCTCCCCACTCCCATCAGGAGTTGGAAAGGTTATCTATTGTCTCCACTTGTATTAAACATTTTACTGGAGATCATAGTAACTGTAAAAGGTAAGAAAAATAAAATCATACAGATTAAAAAGAAAAAAGTGTCTTTATGCATAGAAAACATAATTGTATATGTAGAAAACACTACCCGATATACAAAGAAATTACAAGATATAAGAAGGGAATTTACTGAGGTGCCATATAAAAAAGCGATTACTTTTGCTGTATCCTACTACATACCAATAGATAGATAGATAGGCAAAGATATATACGTGCATGTATATACACACATATATGTGAGTACATGCATATATATGCATATATATATATAAATGTCTATATGTACACACACACACACACACACAAAATGCATACCATGATAGTGGAGTGGAAAAAGTTAAGTCATCCACTTAAGATGACGTTTAAGAAAGGTAAGTCATCCATTTCAACTAGGACCCTGAAAGTTGTCTATGAAATTATTACCAGAGATATTGGTGTCCATGGGGATAAGGCTTTTAAGCCAGGATAGATCCTGCACCCGTCATCTCATGTCCTTGTCCCCAGGAGGAGATGCCACACAAAACTGTGTAGGTAGCTGCAAAGCTCGGTTAGAAATGAAATGCTCAGTTTTGCTGTGCTGACAGTTGTTGGTCTCTGCAAACGTAGAAGATAAGAGAAATAAATAAAAGGCATGGAGGTTGAAACAGAAGTAAAACTGACTTTATTCATACATGATGCATGGAAAATATATGTAGAAACCCCAAAGGAATCTGCACACACACAAAAAAAATCTACCAAAAATAAACAATGAATTTAGCAAGATCCCAATAATATAAGGTGTGTGTGTATATATGTATGTGTGTATACAAGTACTATATATATACATACATATTTAATGCATTTTCTGTGTTCTACCAATGAACTATTTGAAAATAACATTTGCAAATCCCATAACATACTTAGGGATACATTAGCAAAAGCCAAGTAAGACCTATACACAGAAAACTACAAAAGAGTAGCTGCAAACTTTCTCCATAAAGGGCCAGGGAGTAAATAATATAGGTTTTATAGGTCGCGTATGATCTCTGTCACATATTCTCTGGAATTTTCTGTTGTTTTTAAAGACCTTTTAAAGACATTAACATCATTCTGCCGGGCGCGGTGGCTCAAGCCTGTAATCCCAGCACTTTGGGAGGCCGAGACGGGCGGATCACGAGGTCAGGAGATCGAGACCATCCTGGCTGACACGGTGAAACCCCGTCTCTACTAAAAAATACAAAAAACTAGCCGGGCGAGGTGGCGGGCGCCTGTAGTCCCAGCTACTCAGGAGGCTGAGGCAGGAGAATGGCGTGAACCCGGGAGGCAGAGCTTGCAGTGAGCCGAGATCTGGCCACTGCACTCCAGCCTGGGCGACAGAGCGAGACTCCGTCTCAAAAAAAAAAAAAAAAAAAAAAAACCAAAACCAAAAACATCATTCTTAGCTAACTGGCCTTATAAAAACAGGCTGTGAGTGGGGCATGGTGGCTCACACTCTTAATCCCAGCACTTTGGGAGGCCAAGGCGGGCGGATCATTTGAGGTCAGGAGTTTGAGACCAGCCTGACCAACATGGTAAAACCCGTCTCTGCTAAAATACAAAAAGTAGCCGGGCATGGTCACGGGCGCCTGTAATCTCAGCTACTCAGGAAGCTGAAGCAAGAGAATCACTTGAACTCGGGGGTGGGTGGAGGTTGCAGTGAGCCAAGATCATGCCACTGCACTCCAGCCTGGGTGACAGAGCGAGACTCCCCCTCAAAAATAAAAAGAAAAAAGAAAATAAAACAGGCTATGGGCCACATTTGGCCCATGGGCTGAAATTTGCTGACCCTTGGTGTAAAACATTGCTGAGAAAAAATGTAAAAGATTGAAATATATGGAGATATATCCCATGAGATGGATTAGAAAAATTAATATTGGTAAGTTTTCCATTTTGGCCAAACTCTGAAATCTGTTCTGTGGAATTATTACGGGAGATCCTGGTCCCTTGGGGCACAAGGATGTTAAGCCAGGGTGAATCTTGCACCCACCTGATGTGCCATCTTCTATGTTTGCTGAGACAGCTGTGTGGTTGGCTGCTGGGGTCCATTTGAAGAGAAAGGCCCTGTGGCCTATGCTGACAAGTGGAACTCCCTGCCCTACATCTTCTGAGGAAACTGGAACCCAGCCAAAGAAGACCTTCCAGTAGGCAGTGCCTGTGATCACTGTAGGTGTGCATGGTGCTAAGTACCCTACAGGCTATAAAAAATAGTAATGCGGCCGGGCGCGGTGGCTCAAGCCTGTAATCCCAGCACTTTGGGAGGCCGAGACGGGCGGATCACGAGGTCAGGAGATCGAGACCATCCAAACATGGGCTAACATGGTGAAACCCCGTCTCCACTAAAAAATACAAAAAACTATCCGGGCGAGGTGGTGGGCGCCTGTAGTCCCAGCTACTCCGGAGGCTGAGGCAGGAGAATGGCGTGAACCCGGGAGGCGGAGCTTGCAGTGAGCTGAGATCCGGCCACTGCACTCCAGCCTGGGCGACAGAGCGAGACTCCGTCTCAAAAAAAAAAAGTAATGCACGATGCACACATGATAAGGCGGCTTCACAGTACAGGTGGTTAAATTCAGGAACTCTGGAATCCGAGAGCCTGGGTCAAATCCTGGCAGGGCCACTACCACCTGTGTGAGCCAAGGAAGGTTCTAAAGTTTTACAAATGCTGTTTTACCAAATTTGCAAAATGAAGAGAACCTGCCTGCCAGGTAGAGATATTGTGGGAAGCAACATCCAGGAAGGTCTGAGCACCTGGTCCCCAAGTCAGAAACCTTCACAGCCCAGATGGGGATGCCCTAAGTTCATACCCTTCTAGGCGACCACAGAGAAGTGCCGCCTGGCTCCAGGACTCGGAGAGGCGCTAGAGAGCTTCCTGGAGGAGGCGGCATCCTCCCATGCTACCTGCCTAGAGAGGAGAGAAGGGAAACTGGGTCCTCTGTGGCGGCTGCCTGAAAGGAAGCAGCTGGGGGCTCTTGCTCCCTGCCTGCGCTGGCGTCTTCTCCCCACGTTAGCCCAGGCCGGCTGCAGCGGCTGGGCTGCCTGGGCGGAGTCAGGAGACAGCACCGCCCGGTGCCTCCCCAGGCACCTTCCGTGTGAGCCAGCTCCCTACTGTGGGAGGATCTGGGGAGATCCCGCCTCCAGCTTTGGGCAAGGTCTGCCTCCAGAGTCCCCAGCGGCAAGGGCGGGCGCACCCACGGGCACTGGTTGCCAAATCTCCCGCCCTCAGGCCAGGGGCCGAGCGAGCCTCCACAGTCCTGAACAATCCCCACTTAACGGCGGGGAGCCGCTGGGAGCCTAACCAACCGAGTGAGCTCGAGTCCAGCTGGCTTCGGACCGTTGGACCTCCCCGTTGGCCCTTTGTTGTATTTCTTCGCGCTCTGGGCTCGCGCAAGCTTTCTCTGCCAAGCGTTCCAACGGCCGCTCACCGGCATCTGGCTGAACAGGATGCACTTCGCCTCGGAGTTCCCACTCCACTCCAAGGATCCAAGAGCGCACAAGCTGCTCTTCACGGGCAACTACCTCTGCAAGCTTCACCCCCGGCTCTGCCACGCCCCACAGGGTTCCCTGTCTGGTCTGGATCACCTCGCTCTCCCTGCGCCTCTCTCCTTGGCCTAGCTCGACAAGTGCCTCCCGCGATCCTGCGCCTCTACCCCTCGGTTTCGTCGCCGCTAAGGGGTGGTGGTGTCTGATCCATCAGGCTCTGCGCTCCTCCTTCGGATCCATCCTCAATGTCCAGGCAGGACTCTCACATGAAGCCGGTGCTGTCTGCTGTTCACTCTAAGATGCTCAGCCACTCAGGACAGTTACGATCTGTCATCCAGGGCGCGAACCGACTCTCCTCCATTGCTATCTGAGTAGGCAGTCTCCTCTGTGAGGTCGGTCCCATCCTTACTATCTAGATCCCTGCCCAGGAAGACTGAGATGAGGACCCTAGGAGAGAGCAGCCAGGCATAGTGAAGGTGGAGGATGAGTATAAATAGTGATCCCAGCGCGATCAGAGAAGCTCCCCTGCCCCCACCCATCGCAGTGGGAGTGAGTCATCAGATCTATCCCCAAGACAAGAAAGTCCTAACTTCATTCCCGTGCAGTCCCGGGCCATTGAAGGGAAACCTCCACTCCAACCCCCGGAAGACGCCTTAGATGAGAAAGTGAAGAGATATTGTATGAGCTCATTCATCAAAAGCCATGCCAACACCAGCTCAGGCAGTGCTGCTAGGGGTTTCCTACCTTTCTGGAGGTCCAGTTCTCTCTGAAGACAGAGAAGATGAAGGGAAGAAGGGTTTCAAACAGGAACTCTCAACCCACGTCTGCCAGTTGTAGACTCTGTAAACAAAGTTCCAACTCATCTGCTGCTGCCACTGCCGCTGCTATTTTTTGAGGTCAAGGTGAGCTGCCCAACCTCTCCTAAGCTTTTTTGTATAGTCATTGGAGAAGATGTAGGCTTGAAGAAGAAAGCAGAGCCCCAGTCTACCACATGTTCTTAGAAGAGAAAGTCAAGTCCCCTTCAGATAGCAGTGCGGTGCCCCTCAGCCTGCCCCTTCTTTCTTCCTGCTTGTTGCAGGGACAGCAGGCACCCCACCCTTGGCCATTTTCACCTTGTAGTTTGCTGATACTGTCATGTTATCAGCCACTGACTTGGCTGTCCTGTCTTCCAGGCCCCCAGTCCCTTCTGCCCCTGTACTAGTCCTCACCCCATATACAGATCGTTAAATGAAATGCCCATATCCTAACTCTCCTTTTTTTTTTCTTTCTGTTCTTGTTTCTCCCCTTAGGTTCAATATCATTTTGGGAGTTCCCCTTTATGGGAATAAAAGCCATTTCCATTTCTGTCCCTCATCTGCAGATTTTTATTTATTTTTTTTTTTTGGAGGGAGTGCACTATTTATCCATCCCAGGCTGGAATGTAGTGGTGCAATCATGGCTCACTGCAGCCTCAAACTCCTGGGCTCAAGCCATCCTCCCACCTCAGCTGCCAGAGCAGCTAGGACTATAGGCATTATTTTTTTGTAGAGATGGAGTCTCGCTATGTTGCCCAGGCTGGTCTGGAACTCCTGCTTTCGAATGATCCTGGTGCATCAGCCTCTCAAAGTGCTGGGATTACAGATGTGAGCCACTATACCCAGCCCAGACCGTTACTTTTTTTTTTTTTTTTTTTGAGACAAAGTCTCACACTGTCACCAGGCTGGAGTGCAGTGGTGCGATCTTGGCTCACTGCAACGTCCACCTCCCGGGTTCAAGCGATTCTCCTGCCTCAGCCTCCAGAGTAGCTGGGACTGCAGGCGTGTGCCACCACGCCCAGCTAATTTTTGTATTTTTAGTAGGCAGTCTTCTCTGTGAGGTCAGTCCCATCCTTACTGCCTAGATCCCTGCCCAGGAAGACTTCACCATGTTGGCCAGGATGGTCTCTGTCTCCTGACCTCATGATCCGCCTGCCTTGGCCTCCCAAAGTGCTGAGATTACAGGTGTGAGCCACCATGCCTAGCCTAGATCTCTACTTTTGACCTCACCACATCTCCTAACCCCTTGCCCTTTGCTTCAAGTCTACCTCCTGCAGATTTGAGTCATCTATCAGTCTAGTCATCTAATCAGAATCTATCTAGTCATCTAATCAAAATTAATTCATTGTGGATTTTTCTCCCTTTTTCTTACAGATTCTTCCACCTGTATGCCCATCTTCACGGACCAGCCCACCACTGGTGCCTCAAGCATTTTCACTATTACAGCCAGTAATCTGCAGACATAACCTCAAGCCTACTTTGTACTTTGGTATAAACTACATGGATACCAATCCTTTTTCACAGGTTTTCATCTCCTGGTCTCCCCTAGGACCCAGGATGAGTATTCCCCCATTTGACCAGTTCCATCCCAGTATGGAGCAGATATCCCTTGTAAGGAATGCAGTCTCCACCAGCCCACCTGTTTTTATGGTCAACAGCCCTACCTGAATTTCCAACATTGCCTTTTGACCCAGGAAACACCTGTCAGCTGAAATCTAGGGTTCCTGACAGGCCTCAACAGGAAACCACTCTCTTCAATGCCCTATCTTTTCTGGCCTTCCTACCACTGCTTCTGCAGTCACTTCCACTATAGTAAGCAGATCCTCTTCAGACTGCCTTTGACTCTGATGAAATCAACATGGATACCATGCCCATTTCCCCATCTGTTATCTTCCTGTCTCTCCCTGCAACATTAACAGCTGTTTCCCTTTGAAGAACCTGGCAGCCCCCCAAAACCCTTCAAACTTAACCAGTGACAGCACCACTCTGTCAGCTTTTGGGAATTTGACTCCCCCATGTCCACCTTTGGCATCTGCTATGGTTTGAATGTGTCAACCAAATTTCGTGTATTAAAAACTCAATCCCCAAATTCCTATGTCAATATGTTTGAAGGTGGGGGCCTTTGGGAGGTAATGAGGATTAGATAAAGTCATCAGGGTGGACCCCTATGATGGAACTGGTAAGAGGAAGAGACACCTGAGCTGACAGGATCTTGCTCTTGCCATGTGATGTGCTCCATCATGTAATGACGCAGCAAGAAGGCCCTCACCAGATGCCTGCACTGTGCTCTTGAATTGCTATCAGAAGGGACAGTGCCATACCTCTGGTTGGAGATAGATGACTTCCGTACAAAGCTTATGACCTCAGTCAGAGTGCCTGGGGTTCAAGTGGGTGTAGCACATCTGTTGCAGGTGCAAATGTGTGTTTAAAAGTCCCCATATTCCTGTCTCCCAATCAGAGTAGTAAGGGCTCACCTGGACAAAGCACAGAGCTATAATGGGTAGAGACCACACCATACCTGTGCGTGTCTATATGTCTCTTTCTACAATGACTCAGATATTCCTGACCAGACCATATTTGTTGTAATCAGAGGGTATAACAGCATATAATTTTAGGGAGCCACTCCTATTCTTGCCTTCAGTCAGAACACCCAGAGTCCATCCATTCAGAGTAGCACCTTTGACTTTTTTTTTTTTTTTCTTTTTTTTTGAGATGGAGTCTTGCTCTGTTTCCCTGGCTGGAGTATAGTGGCATGATCTTGGCTCACTGTAACCTCCACCTCCCAGGTTCAAGCAATTCTCCCTGCCTCAGCTTCCGAGTAGCTGGTATTACAGGTGCCCACCAACACACCGGGCTAATTTTTGTATTTTTAGTACAAACAGGGTTTCAGAATGTTGGCCAGGCTGCTCTTGAACTCCTGACCTTGGGTGATCTGCCCACCTCAGCCTCCCAAAGTGCTGGGATTACAGATGTGAGCCACTGTGCTCAGCCCCCTTTCAGAACCATTGAGAAAATTCATGTGCTTGGAAGCATTTGTGTTCCTAGCTTTGGTCAGAGCAACTTCCTTTCTGGTGTGGACATGGCGAGCAACAGTCTTGCTTTTGGGGCACTTTTTTGCATGCTCAGGGCTCACTGGAGACAGATATTTGGGGTGGCCAATTGATTTATTTTATTTGGTGAAAGAATGAGGATCTCACCAACTAAGGAGCAAAAGCTTCCTCTAGAAGCAGAGAGAGGCCACTATCAGTCATGAATAGACCTTACACTTTAGGACGGAGGCTCAGTCCCACCTAGAGATGTCAGACAAACCAAACCTGCTCTCTGTCCTGCTAAAGCAAGGTGGAAGCCCACACATTGTGAGGCAGATGAGACCAGTCAGAAGTCAACACATTGGAATCAAGCAGTTCCACTGTGGGGAGTAGAGAAAACTAGTTAGGTATCATTAACCATGCATCCCTGGCTTTGACTGTCAGCCTGCCAGACCTAACCCCTGGCCCAATTTTCCTGTCTTGAAACTAGAAGAAAAGAAAAAAAGAAAGTAGCAGGATGCTCCATGCTACCTACAGCTGTCTCATTTCCCATCACCCATTTGCCTTGGTGGGCCCTCACCTTTCTTTCCTCAATTATATGTAAGATGGGATGACTTGTCCTTTCCTCCTCCCTCTGTGCTTCTCCCCCGACCATCTGACCTCAATGTAGGCCAGATATCCTGGACATGTGTTAGATGACTCTTGACAATTTTATCCTTTCAAAATGCTTAACTGGCTGGGGGGTGGTGGCTCAAACCTGTAATCCCAACACTTTTGGAGGCCAAGGTGGGTGGATCACCTGAGGTCAGGAGTTCCAAGCAGCCTGGCCAACATGGTAAAACCCCATCTCTACTAAAAATACAAAAATTAGCCAGGAGAGGTGGTGCATGCCTGTAGTCCCAGCTATTCAGGAGGCTGAGGTAGGAGAATCACTTGAACCTAAGAGGTGGTTGCAGTGAGCCGAGATTGCACCACTGCACTCCAGAGTGGGTGACAGAGTGAAACTCTGTCTTGAAAAAAATAAAAATGCTTAAACATCTGAAGTGTCTCTTTCTTTCACTTTGACTTAAGTCAATCATCCCAAACATTCATACTTGAACCAGAGAGAGTGGATGTAGTATCCAGGCTCCTGGGCCTGTAGAAACAAAGGAACTAAAAGCTCGTACTCTGTAATTACTGAAAATGTTAAGCCTAGGTGAGCGTATTTTTCCATTTCATCTAGGAGAATATGTATATACACATATATATGACAGATATGCACAAATATCCTGTTTTTAGAAGCTGTTAGCATGCTGCTTTAAAAAGAAATCATTATTTGGCCAGGAGTGGTGGCTCATGCCTGCAATCCCAGCACTTTGGGAGGCCGAGGTGGTCAGATCACGAGGTCAGGAGATTGAGACCATACTGGCCAACATGGTGAAACCCCATCTCTAATAAAAATACAAAAATTAGCCTGGCATGGGGGCGCATGTCTGTAGTCCTAGCTACTTGGGAGGCTGAGGCAGGAGAATCACTTGAACCAGGAGGCAGAGGTTGCAGTGAGCCAAGATCGCGCCACTGCACTCCAGCCTGGTGACAAAGCAAGATTCCCATCTCAAAAAAAAAAAAAAAAAAAAAAAAATCAAGGAAATGCCCAGATGAGACCTATTTGGAAAACTAACTAGGCTGGCTGTACTCTAAACCCCTAAAATATTACCCCACAAGTGCTACAATTTCATCCAGATCTGGCTGATGGTAGAGCAGTTCTCATCTCTGCTAGACTTATGTGCTAAAGTAAAATATTTTCATATGCCAGAAGAACCATCAGAAGCTAGTGAAAGTGATGCATACAAGCATTTCCTCAGCTCCTTACATATTAGTTTATAAAACAGTTATGATTCTACATGAGAGTCTTTCTCAGGCCTTACTCATATTGAGTTCAAAGACATCTCTTAGCCAGGCACAGTGACACATGCCTATAACCCCAGCACTTTGGGAAGCTGAGGCAGGAGGATCACTTGAGGCCAGGAGCCGGAGACTAGCCTGGGAAACATAGTAAGACCCCATCTCTACAAAATTAAAAAAATTAACTGGGCTTGGTGGCATGCACCTGTAGTCCCAGATACTCGAGAGGCTAGAGCAGGAGGATCACTTGAGATCAGGAGGTCAAGGCTGCAGTGAGCTGTGATTGCACCAATGCACTCCGACTTGGGTGACAGAGTCAAACCCTGTCTCAAATTTAAAAAAAAAGAAGGGCGGCCGGGCGCGGTGGCTCAAGCCTGTAATCCCAGCACTTTGGGAGGCCGAGACGGGCGGATCACGAGGCCAGGAGATCGAGAGACGATCCCGGCTAACACGGTGAAACCCCGTCTCTACTAAAAAATACAAAAAAACTAGCCGGGCGAGGTGGCGGGCGCCTGTAGTCCCAGCTACTCGGGAGGCTGAGGCAGGAGAACGGCGTAAACCCGGGAGGCGGAGCTTGCAGTGAGCTGAGATCCGGCCACTGCACTCCAGCCTGGGCGACAGAGCAAGACTCCGTCTCAAAAAAAAAAAGAAGAAGACATCTTTCACCCCAGCAGAATTTACAAGGCAGTGTGGGAGATAAATGAACAACCAGAAGGAATGGTGATAGGGAGAAGGGAACAGGTAAGGAAGAAAGACATAAAACTAAGTCTGGGGGAGATAAAACATGAACTGCACCTTAAAGAAGGAAGAACAGCCAACTAGGTGGAAAAGGGCTATTTCCAAGGTCAAGAAAAGGGCATGTGAAGAGGCAGGGAAGAAAGAGAGCCAGTGGGACACCAGGAAGATAGTCAAGTATGCGTAGAAACTGAAACCAAAGTGGGAGATGTGGCTGCGGCATTTGGCAAGGACACATTTTGACAAATATATATACAATGATAGGACATTTGTTCATTATCCTGAGCATATAGGGAATCACCAAGGGATTGGGAACAAAAAAAAAGTGGCACGATTCTATGTACACTTGAGAAATACACTGTGGCTACCTGAGAGGGAGATTAGATGGGTGTCACACCAGGGGTGAGGAGGCTAAAGACTCCTTGCAGTGACTAAAGCAAAGTGAGACAATGGCTAAAGCTGTGACTAAAGCAAAGGTGGGGACTTGACAGTGGGGATGGCGAGGAGGCAATAGAAGATAAAGTAAAGTAGGTGACATCAAGGCCAGGGCTATTTTAGCCATCTGCTTGGACAAATGCACATGAGTCATTTGGACAAACATATAGTGAGTTCAGTTTTTAGCTGTGAAGTCCAGGTACTACTCAGAAGGCCATTCATTCATTTATCTTTTTTTTTTTTTTTTTTTGAGACAGAGTCTCACTGTCGCCCAGGCTGGAGTGCAGTGGCGTGATCTCGGCTCACTGCAATCTCTGCCTCCTGGGTTCAAGCGATTCTCCTGCCTCAGCTTCCTGAGTAGCTGGGACTACAGGTGCCCTCCACCATGCCCAGCTAATTTTTTTTGTATTTTTAGTAGAGATGGGGTTTCACCATGTTGGCTAGGCTGGTCTCGAACTCCTAACCCTCAGGTGATCCACTCACCTTGGCCTCCCAAAGTGCTGGGATTACAGGCGTGAGCCACTGCGCCCGGCTCATTTATCAATTTAACATACTTATTGAATATCAAGGATGTACTTGGGACAATTTCAAGTAGCATCAATTGCAAAAAAAGGTAAATCCCTGCCTTATTGGTGCCTCTATCTTAATGGGGCGGGGGGAGAACAGGAACAACACACATAAAAAACATGTGCATTATTTTGTAGATTAGCTAGTTAATGAGTGTTATAGAGGATAAAGCAGTTTGTGGGAAACTAAATTTGGGAATAAGGAGAATCATGGGTGTCTGTTTTTACACAGGATGGACAGAATGGGTCCCACTAAGAAGGTGAAATTTAAGCAAAATCAGAAGCAGGCAGTTGAGGGAACCACACAGATATCTGAGAGAAGAACAACCCAGAGAGTGGGAATAGCCACTGCAAAGGCCCAGAGGAAAGCTGCCTGGGGTCCCAGGGAGTAGATATTAAAGCCAATGGAGATAGCATGCAGCCAAGTATGACAGCAAGAG